CTTCTGTCTATATAATACACTCCTGTAGAATTACAAAGTTCTGTCTGACACTAGGTGAGAGATAGGTTATAAGTGGTCGCTTTTAAGGACAAGCGGGCTCACCCTGATTTCGGGGGTTTCCAGAAATCTTGATCTACATCAAAAATGGGCATTTCCCTACCTATATGCTATAGGAGAAGTTTGGTTTCATTGGCGGGTATATTTGTTTGGTTATGGAGAAAGCTCTCCTTGTTTTTTAAAGACACTGAATAAGGATCCAACAACTTTACCTTCGATTTTCTCAAAACAGTATTATCGAGATAGCCCCATTGTGCTTAAAAGCGACCATTTGTAGTTGGTGCTTCTGTCTATACAATTCGCTACCCTAGCATAACAAAGATCTATTTGGCATTTTTGGGCTGGTTTGGGTTACTAAGACCATAATGTCAGAAACCAAATTAATGTCAGAAACCAAATAAGAAACGATATGAAGACGGTGACAACATTACGTAAATGGGTTACAGAATGAGAGATAGATCTAGACTGTTTACTGTTGGTGCTTCTGTCCACAAAATTCGCTACCTTAGAAGATAAAATCATAAAGTTGTGTCGGAGATGTTTGGCCGTATTGAGTGACTAGGGCCATGATGTCAGAAACCAAATTATGAGAGACGATATTATGAAGAACTTAAAGGGGACAAGTAACTCGGTTCGTCAGCTCAAACTATTGACAGCTCCACACACTTACGAGATGAGAATCGACCCAGGTTATTTGGCAATTAGAATAGCAAGGTTCTAGATCTATCTGACATTTTTGCCCGTTTATTATTGGTGTTGCTAAGATTGCTATGAGATCTGAAACCAAATGTTCTATCCTGTCCACTATCAAAATCGAAAGATTATTCCGGAGTCTTTATCAAGATATTCAAGGAACTCCATTCGCTAAAGCGTGACATGTTGTGAAACACAAAATTTTTTACGTCAAATTTCTCAAAACTTGGTCTTTTTTATCAAATAGATTTTTTTTTCAATTCTAGG